CCGTGGTTCTAGATGAGGATAAGACTAGTGGTTCTAGGTGAGGGTAGGACTCGTGGTTCTAGATGAGGGTAGGACTCGTGGTTCTAGATGAGGGTAGGGCTCGTGGTTCTAGATGAGGGTAGGACCTGTGGTTCTAGATGAGGGTAAGACTAGTGGTTCTAGATGAGGGTAGGACCCGTGGTTCTAGATGAGGGAAAGACTAGTGGTTCTAGATGAGGGTAGGACTCGTGGTTCTAGATGAGGGTAGGATTAGTGGTTCTAGATGAGGGTAGGACTCGTGGTTCTAGATGAGGGTAGGACTCGTAGTTCTAGATGAGGGTAGGACTCGTGGTTCTAGATGAGGGTAGGACTCGTAGTTCTAGATGAGGATATGTTTCGTAATTTTCACATAAGCATTCCAAGAACTTCAACATCATATCATTGTAAGTTCTTACGTTATTCATACTTTTCGACCAGTTATCGCACATGTACTGCGGAGTGCACACTCGTCCAAGTGTCTGTCTTTGCTCAGCAGTTAGTCGATCAGGTCTTCTAAGTGCCCCGACGATGGTTCCAATAATTCGCTTGTTAGCGCAAGTTACCAAGATTGGCAAGCTCTGATGGAGCAGCTTCGTCTATATGCAAATGCCGACCACTTCCTCTCACAGTCTTCACCAACGCCCTCTTCAATTGTGCGGGCACAGTATTGCTTTGATTCATATCCCGTATTAATATTCCGTAACGATGATGTGCGTTAAATGGAAACTCATAAACGCAAAATTTCATGTTTTCATTATCGGATAATCTGTAGGAATTTATGTTATATATGGTATTATATAATATAATTCATTACACCATATATAATTTTCATTATATATGGTATAATGAAATCCTATCATTATACCATATATTATTTTCATTAAATATGGTATAATGAATTGCTGGAAGAGAATTATTGTTGTATGGGTAAAATATTAACAACAGTCAAATTATTTACAAAATTTCGTGAATGTTAGGTGAGAAAATTATTTGTTAATAAAATTTGTAGGCTGCTGTGCCTATTTTTCTTCGGGACTATGCGATTATTTAAATTATTCAGAAAAGTAATTAACCCCCATTTTAATTTTGGTACTTGACTTCACCATGCCAAGAAGCGAAGGTATCTTCGTTTATTTTTACGTCTAATTCGTATTTTCAGCTTAATTAATTTGTGCACACGTAGAATTAAAAATAATGTGTTCAATAAATACATGACGAAATTGATGAAAAAACATAAACGATTAGATTCGCGTTAATCTAAATAATAAAGTTCAGAATTTCTATAAAGTAACGTTCATGATCTTCATTTTTCCGCCCACATCGGAACCTTTTGCAACTTGCTCACAGAATTCAGAAGAAAAATCGCAATATTTTCCTTATTTAATTGTTTAATTTGTAGTCATTAGCAAAAATATTCATAAAAATATCATCATGGGAGCCTTTATGCACCAATAATGTCTCATGATTGCACCATTCAAAGGCCAGAATGACAGAAAATAACATTTCTGGCCGTCATTTAAGCGTTAATTAACGTGACATTAGATTTTAAAATGCATATAAAAAATTCTAGCACTCTTATAACTAAAATTAAGTGCCTTTTCGCGAGCTGCCATCATAACTTATTCGAAAATAATATTAATTTTTAAAATTGTTTATTGTGCACCAAATGAAAATCTTTCATCGTTAATGTAACTCAAAGGCCATCAGTATGAGTTATAAGGGCCTTTGTACAACGTGCATATGATTGTTGGTAGCCGAATAGGTGGCAGTTAAATTTATTAATTACAGTGTCACTTTAAAATAAATGTTGCATTTAATTATCTATCACGCTTAAGTATTCTTTTATTGCAAGACATGTGCAAATGAAGTGTATAATACGAAATTTTAAAGTTTTTATAGTAAAATTTTATTAAATTTTAAGTACCTAATTTCAATTTTAAGTTTTTAATAGGTGGTAATCGAGCGATTTTCTGTGAAGATATTTGCTAAATTAAAGTAAATGATATTTAAAAAAGTGCATGAAAATAATTAAAGTGAAAATTGTGCTCCCTATGAAATATTATTATTTGATCTTGAGCTGTCTTACAACCGTATAGGATAAAGTCTCTTCTTTCGTTATTCAAATATGGGAATATATTTTTATTTATTTCTAAACTTTGAACGTCATGCTAAGCACTACAACTAAGTCTTGTATATGCAACGTTCCGTTATCTTTGGAGTGGACGTAAATTTTTCAAGTATTTCAATGACCTGATGAAGGGCCAAGCGATAAGGTGCTGTGAGAACCCGCCAGAAAATGACCCTTAGTCGAGAGGTCATTCCTCATTACCTCCAAGAAATGCGTTCAGGAATGTATACGATGCGCCCAGGAATCTAAGGGAATACGAGCTACACGAGTTTTGTCTCTAGGCAACATAACAACACAACTTTTCGAGACTGCATGAAGATATACGAATAATACGAACATGTATCCTGTTGAATAAGACGAGTATTTTAGTAATATGTATTTAGTTTTGTACTTTTCTAAATGTAAAAAAATATATATAGATTAGGCAGCAATTTTATTGACTATATTACCGAAAAATATTATAAATTGTAGTACAAATGAGCAATCTTTCGCTCCGGCGATTCGTAAATAAATCAACGTAAACACCTTATTGTAACAATGTGCTCAAAAAAGTACCTTGTCTTTTCGATTCATCTTTTACGAAAAATATTATGCAAATTTCAAAATTTATTGCGATAAAAAAGTAAAATCATACGAATTCATGGAATAATTTTCAAAATCTTCAATTTCGTGAAACATACAATCGTAATAAATCCGTTGAAGAAGTCGCGGCGCGACCGTTAGGTTTATCCGCCATACGAGGAAGCGAAATGCTCTCGAGGGCAGAGAGGCAAAACGCTGCTTCATTATTCCCGTAGGAATACCGAGGGAAAAACACGTACTTTTGAGCACCGCTTGGGAGTCCGGTTACGGCCGCCCCCGGAGGGATCTCCGTAACCCTCGACCAGCGCGGTAAATTGCAGCCCCGCAATCATTATAGTTGGGGAATAAAAATAATATATTAACATACTTGTTCTACTTGTAATTGCATTTTATAAGCATGCATCATATTTATCATGGCTGGTTAATCGTAACCAACACGAAACTGTTGCATAAGCCTGCAATGATTGAAGAAATTCAGGTAGGTTCGGATGAAAAATTATCGTGAATATATATCAATGAACGTGTGCAAGGCGTGGGTCGAATCCTTTGCATTCGAGGTATATTGTATTGGATTAAAATGTTAATTAAAGACTGCTTCATATGCACATAATAATAAAGCCTTTGTGACCGTAACCTAGATTCAAAATAGTTCAAGATGTTATTTCGTCCTCGATTCCGAGAAAGCGCGGAGAATTTCACGTACCGAGGGTTAGCCTTTTGAAATTGACTCCCTCTGGGAGGCACTTAATGTTTCCTTCAAAAGAAAAGGTCGTATTTCAAACCGTGGGATCAGCTGAACTGCGCCCAATTTTGGACCTCCAGATCCTCGTCACATGAACCTGGCAGTCATGCGTACCATGAGCTACTCATGACGAGCGTTTGTAGTTATGATCCTACACAGGTTGTGTGTTACCGTGTGAAGCGATGCATAAAAAGGCGACGTTGTATGTACACATTGTACAGTCGTTTCAGTCACCAACAGCAGTCATCTCACTAGTGACTAGACACTAGACACTAGAGGCTCAGGTTCGTTCACTCAATACGGTGTTTCCAACAGGTGCCTAGATTTATGGCTAGATAAGTTAACCGAAATTAGTACCCGAAATAGAGAAGCGTGTAGATTTTTGGGATTGTGAGATACAATTCGATCAATCGTCCTGCTTTTTCTAAATTGAAGTTATTTCAGAATGAATAATTTGGCATTTATGTTGTAAAATTTTGAAATTTTCTTTTCATGCTGAATCAGAGATGGCAATCGAACAAAGAAGTGCAGGTGTAAAATAAATTTTTTGGGCTCTGCATATTCTATTTCGCTATTTATTTAGTTTGCTGCTTGTTCCTAAACAATTTTTTTACATTTGTATTTTACGAAATGGATTTTTGTAATTCTGGTTTCATGCAATATTTGCTTGATAATTTCTATGCTCACTATATCCTTTACTCAGTACGGACACTTTTCCCGCCAATCGCATCACAACTTTGCTTTGAAATTCTTAGCTCTGAGTTTCAGAGCTCAATGCACACCTCCTTGTTTCAGTTCGCAGCTCATCTCCCCAAACGTCCATATTCCATGCCGCACATAAAGCTGCTCTCTTCATATCTTTCCATTAAATTCGAGCGCTAAATGTCAGGTGTATTTTGGGGGGCCAGATGTCTTCCACAGTCGAGGTTTATGCCGCACTCACAGGGACTTCCAAAGCAGCTTCATCTATCATGCCTTCCGACGTGCTACAATTCAAACTACGCTGCTAGAAACTCGGTCGCTGCCAGAGAATAGATTTACAGTCACTGTGGGGGAATATTTCTATGGGAAAATGGATACGAGGTGCACTCAGTCGGTGACAATGTGTATGGATTCATTCGAGTAGGTACTGCTTGATAAAATATATATTCAAATATGAATATATTTTTTGCAGATTTTCCGAAGATGAACAGTGAAGGAACTTTAAACATTCTTTACTTTATGATTTAGCAATTAATTTGCATTCAATATCCGCATTATTCCATTTTATTTAACGAGAAAGTGGTCAATCCTAGAAAGGAAACACCGTGCAGTACTCACATGTTACTCCAGTAATTAGGGTGGTTAACAGTTATGTTGGTTAAAAATTAGTTTGGGGTTCGCAATAAAAGCATGATGCATCAATCAAATTTATTTACTAATTAAGGCCAACCTACTTCATTTTTATTGTCCCGTTTTACAATCACTATCCAATTTATGAATATTGGTATTTAATATATAATGTAGAGCATGAAATCCTGCATTCGAATATTTTATATTTCATGATTACAAATGATTATCAAATGAATGAATTTATTTTTGGTTCGTATGCTTCAGAACATTATTTGTTTCTGCATGTTAAAATCTCAATAAGAAACATGACCAACGAAGAAACACATAAATTAAACCAAAGGATCTGCATTAATTAAAAAGTCGCTAATCATGGATTAATAACCCTTCTTATATGTGATGCGCTAGAAAGAATCAGCCTTAATCTCAATCTCTGTGAGAAAGAATCTCACAGCCTTAATCACTCATGCATTACCATAAAAACATTGGTACGTATTGTTACATGTCTTTATTTAAAATTTCTCCTGCAGGCGATTGGGTAAGAACTTAGGTATTCAGTTACATGTTCACAGTTTGAATAGCTGCTGCTGTTACATGTTCATAGTTTGCATTGGACCTGCAGTTACATGTTTACATTAAATTACTGCCGCAGTTACATGTTCATAGTTGGCATTAGTCATGCAGTGACATGTTCACATTAAATAGCTGCCGCAGTTACATGTTCATAGTTGGCATTAGTCATGCAGTGACATGTTCACATTAAATAGCTGCTGCAGTTACATGTTCATAGTTGGCATTAGTCATGCAGTGACATGCTTACAATAAATTGCTGCTGCAGTTACATGTTTACAGTTTGAATTGCTCCTGAAGGCGACGGCGGCGACACAGAGCCTCGTCCCAGCTCATGAAAGTCGTCACCAGATGCCGCGCAGTCAGGTCGCCTTCGAAGCTCTGCCGGGCGTGCTGACATCGTACGTTGTCCAGCACCGTCATGTCTCCTGCGAATACATATACGAAGATTTTTTTAGCCCTTTTGTTTAATGAAGGTAACTCTCGTTACTATGTTCTAATAAATCTATAACATTGGCAACATTTAATGAAAAAGTAGGCAGTAACTCTGGCAAATAACTGTGCTTAACGTGTCAGTAGACCATAGCTACTTATGCATTTATTTTTGTCGAGGTGTAATACGTAGTTTCGAAAAGTGCTGGCTTTGTTATTTATTCAAAGTCCCGTGGCTCCTAGTACCTTTAGCTACTTTCTATGGCACCGAGCATGACTATTTTTTTCGGAGCGCAATTCCCGGAGATTTTTGCGATGCAAATGATGTGCATATTTTTAGACGAGTAAAATCCATGGTTTTATTGCAGGAATAAAGAGTCTCTGCACTGCAAGATAAGCTAGAGACTAAATTTATTTGTTGCGCCTGCCAACACTTCATGATTATCTTACAGTCTCTTGAATTCAATTTTATTTCCTAAATAAATTTAAATATGCATCCCGTAATGTCCTTAAGGAAAATTTCAATGCTTAGTATCTTTGTTTTTATGCCCTGTTTGTCATGAATGTGGAGAAAAATTGTGAAATTTTTAAATCTTGAAATAATAGCGACAAATTGTACTTTGCAATTCACCTACAGACGGCTAAAATCTAACTTAAGCAAGTAAATGACTAACCATCTTGCATCTTGAACGAGACGCTGTTGTCGTACATGAGCCTGAAGTAGATCTGGAGGGCGTGGTAGAAATCCTCTACTTTATCGTCAGGTAGATCCAGGTGCGAGTCCCGGACTTGGTTATTGAAGCGGATGGTGCTCACTTCACCGGAATTATTCAGCCTACAGGCACAATGCATCGTGTTAACATATATCAAACATGGACAAACGCTGCATACACGCGCGGAAACTTGTTATTATTAATAATTTACTTATAGATGAAACCAAAAACAAAAGATTCATTCATTTGAACAGCGCAAAATTTTACATTGGTTGGAAGTGAATTTCGTTACACAAACTCACATCAGTCGCAGTTATAATTGGTTAGTGACCGGCGCATTCGGGAAAAACTCAGAGTACACAATATATATTTTTTTAATTCGCGCGAACTTTTTTCTTGTAACTGCGTGTGAATTTGTTCATATATACCATTAAAATAGCGCGGAAAAATTGCTTTAATCAGTTTTTTTACAGAAAAGTAAATGGAAATGATAACCTGCAAACGACTTTTAATTTTTTTTTCCAACGTTTCTTTGTTTACATATTGATTGCTATCAGTTGTGCATTATTACTTAAAATTATACCGTCCGAAAATTGTTTACTTGACATTAAATTTTGATAATTTCGCTCCATGAATAATGAATTAATTGTACTCTACTCGATGCTAATTAAATTAACTCCTCTATTACCAGAAAAAAAATTAATACCTTACGCATCGCACTATACAATTTGTCGCCTTATTAAAAACATCATTCTTAACTTCAGCATAAATTTATCACGCAGCATCTCATGAACCAGAAACTCTGAGGAAATATATCGTTTAAAAACATTAAGCTCACTGTATGGTCGGTCCCTTGTTGATTTTATAGAACTGGTTCATCTCCATCTGGTCCTTTCCCTCGCCTTTGTCCCAGAAATAAACGTCAGTGGTTACGAGCGTCTCGAATTGTTGAGGGTAATGTTCCCTCATGTACTCTGCTGCCCTCAGCCCATCACTGATGATCGTGTCACCTCCCTCGCCTCTGTGCTGCTTCACCATGTGCAGGAATATCAGCTGAAATAACGCAGGAATATCAGAAAGCAGGAATATCAGCTGAAATAATATGGCAATATCATTAAAATAAAGAATGGATTTCAGCTGAAATAAAGCAGGAATATCAGCTGAAATAATATATCAATATCAATTAAAATAAAGAATGGATTTCACCTGAAATAAAGCAAGAATATCAACTGAAATATAATGTGGAAGTATCAGTTAAAATAAAGAATGAATTTTTGCTGAAATGAAGAAGGAATATCAGCTGAAATAATATAGCAATATCAATTAAAATAAAGAATGGATTTCAGCTAAATAAAGAAGGAATTTCAGCTGAAATAAAGCAGGAATATCAGCTGAAATGATATGGGAATATCATTAAAATAAAGAATGTATTTCAGCTGAAGTAAAGCAGGAATATCAGTTGTAATATAGTTTATTTGTGTTAACAATGCATAAAATATGCAAAGAGGCAGTCATTGTCAGTATAATCAAAGTCAGCCAAATATTAATATTATTGATTTATGCTGAGAATAACTCTAATGTATGGCAGTAAGAAATTTAATCGTGGAAGTTCCACAAAAAGTGACAAATTCGATTAAGCAAACGACAGGCATATTGAAATTTTCACTTTTAAATTTGATTCAAATAATAACTCTATAATACCTAGAATGATAAGCATACCTAATAATTTTAATAATTGATATTGATAAGTGATAGTATACGTATAATAGTAGAAGAGTAAGGAAATTAAAGAAGCTAATGCGTTTCCTGACCCCTGGTAACCTAATAATTGTAATAATTGATATTGATAAGTGATAGTATTTAATAGTAGAAGGTTACGGAAATTAAAGAAGCTAATGCGTTTCCTGACCCCTGGTATCTCCTGGTACTGAGGCATGTCGTTGTGCAAGTTCAGAGTCTGGTTGGTGTATGCCAGGTTATTGGCCTGTGGGTGGTTCACCACACTCGAGTAGATCCTGGTGAAAAGAGCATACATGATGAATTATTCATGTAAAAAATGGGCGTCATTGTCCCGCACATTTTGGCTTACTTTGAAATTCATTGCATTAATTTCATCAACAACAAATAATTTCATTTTGCTTCAAGCAAAATATATTTATAATGCATAAACTTAATGCGCGCATCCTCAAGAATTTCAGTATCAATCGTTCTTAATATTTTAGACTAATGCAATATTAGTCTATACTAGACAATATTTCTTCATACATTACTTTACATAGAAGGGAAAAGGCCTCACCCATAATGCGTGTATTTAACTTTAGCAACTCTCTCGCAGAGGTCGTATGCCGCTGAGGGCTGCGAGGGCGTTTGCTTCAGGAGGGTAGCGCCCCAGGTCTCCAGCACGACGAGCCACCGCAGCAGCGCAGCGTCGTCTTCCATAAGGCTGGGGTAGTCGAACTCAGCTACCTTGTGGCCGTGGGACCATTGTTTCTGTTGGTAAAATCATATTTAAAACGAATATTTACTAGTTCAAGTAGGTAAAGAATATATATATACATGTTTGAAACTAATATATATTAGTTAAACCATGGATATAAAGACAAAAAGTTAGGTTTGTTCGCGAGGCAGTATGGAAGCAGGCAAAAATTTCTCTGCTAATATTTGTCTTAAAGAGCTCCATAATGAGATATTAAATTCGAAAATTACATGTGCGTTTGATGTTTGATAAATATCGTTCATTTAATAAATGATTTTCGTTCCTGACGCTAGTTATAACAAGATTTAGAAGTTTTACAACGTATTGCTCTACTTATATTTGATTTATATATTATATAGTATCAAGTAAGGAAGCAGAAATTAATTCAATACTAAAATTCCATTAAAATAATTCACCGTTAAAACTTTCGCAATTAGAAATAAAAGTTCGTACATTAAATGAATTCTGAATTATCTTGTAATGCTGGCTGGTAAAAATTTATCGATTTAATGAAAGTTTACCAATTAACAGAAGCGTGGTTAATGAAATCCAAAGCTAAAACGTGAATTCTTATAACAGCCTACAACGTTTTTTTCCAAACTCTTCTACTACAATAACAAAATTTTCTTCAATTTAGTTTTCTCTAATGTTTCTATAGCAACAGCGCTTCAAAAATAAACTGCAGCATCGCTGGTCAAGCCCACTCAATCTACGAGTCTCTTCCGTACACTCAAATAAAAACGGCCTTAACAAAAGCATCTTCATTCAAAAGCCAGATAAAAATATTTCCCGGTTATTAAAGGACTTTTTACCTTTGGCAAGGAGAACCTGCTTCTGTATTTCTGCCTGGCCTGTTCAGTAAAGGCTCTTCTCTGCAGCCACTCGGCTTTGAAGACGCTCTCGTGTCCATCCTTCCATCTGATCTCCACGTCTCCGGCGTCGCTTAGCCTGGCATCATCAGCTTCGGGAGCCGAAAGCAAATTTTGCATCAAAAACGAACGTCCAAGTGCAAGAGGGTTGAAGCAATTGGAGCACTGGCAGTTGTCGCGTAGCCACACAGTCGGATACCTTAGTGTTTCACCATTGGTTAGAGTTAACTTTATTTTAGTCCCGTCAATGTCGACTGCCGATATCGGGTGAACTGTGATAGTTTCAGAAACGCTTGGATTAAGCTTTTTCAAAGATTCCGTGTCCAAGTTGAAGTGTTCCATTTGGGATTTTTCGATGCTTTCAACTTGAGCGAGGGCTGGTTTTTCGTCAGTCTGGTTAGTAGTGATGGTACGTATACCCGAAGTACATGTCTGAGTGCAGGTTTTACACTTGTCAGTGCCTTGACCTGTAAATTGAATATTTTTTAGTCGAAATTGGACTTTTCCAAGACATTATTAATAAAATCAAGCCAAAACATATCTTACGTAATTCGAATTATCACTATTAGAATATTTTCGTGCGATTTTTATTGAATTATATTGAAATATTATTAGATTGATACCTTTTTATGCAAAACAATGATAAAACATTAATTTAAAACAGCATATGATGCCTGAAAATCGCAGCACCGAGTCGGTCTATTAATATCGGTCATACATCAAGGGACATATACGATGAATAGTAAATGATCTTTGCGCACTGTGTGAGTGTGTGCGTAATTGCCCATCCTGGTAGTAGCAACTAGGTATGGGAGGGGGTGATATAGGTCAGTTTTTCCGGTGGGCGCTAATGCCACTGGTAGTTCTACGACCATCACTGCCTCGCCGACTCACCAGAACCATTTTTGCATTACACAACACACTGGACAAGCCAGGTGCTCATTTATCAACCAGAGTTAGGTGAATGGCTGATCGAGCTGACCATGAGCTGACCTTCCCGGAAAAACTTATCCTCAGTGGGACTCGAACCCGGGCGCTGGGTGCGAGAGACAGAGTCTCTCACCACTGCACCACCGCATCTCATCTCTACGCACTAGCTTATAAATATTGCGGCGTATTGACACATTGACATAGGCATAGTAAGGAAGCCGAAATTAATTCAATACTAAAATTCCATTAAAATAATTCACCGTTAAAACTTTCGCAATTAGAAATAAAAGTTCGTACATTAAATGAATTCTGAATTATCTTGTAATGCTGGCTGGTAAAAATTTATCGATTTAATGAAAGTTTACCAATTAACAGAAGCTTTTGTCTGTTGAAAAGGGCAGGGTGGCCCAGTGGTTAAAGTTCAGAGTACCAAGATTGGCGCAGAGCGGCGCGGGTTCGATCCCAGCTCTGTGCGCCAGTTTCTGGTCAGAATCGGCAAGGAGGCCGGGCGGTTAAGCACAGCAGAATTGTAGCAGTGAGTTGCGAGTTCGAGACCTCAAAATGCTGTGAATGTTCTGCGATGTTAAGAATCGGCGACAGGCCTACGGCCTAATAAACGCTGAAACCGCTATTATAATACGCTTCTATATGATATATACCGAACAACTCACTGATTGCAAACGATGATTGGAGATTTGGCCCGCACATGGGGAGCTGGGGGCCGCCGGTCTGCCGGCCGTAAATCGGCTGCAGCAATGAAGCCGCTGCCTGGAGGTTAAATATTACGTGTTATTGGACAATTTATAAACATAAAACGTCGCGTTTCTTATAGTTGGAAATCTAACTCAAAAAAAGCTCTGTTTGTACATGTATTTTAAATATTTTTCTATGTAAATTAATTGCAAAATTTTCCCACATAATTGACTTTATCCCTTTGTAATGACGTGATGCCTTTACATTGAATATAATTGAAATGTATGCACAAATTGAAAAGATTTAGCTGGTTTACAATGAATGACTAAATCAAATCTAATATATATATAATAGTTTAATGTTATTTATATTCAATAATATCCATTATTAAATAACTTTTAAATCTGTAATAATCACCAACCTTTGAATATGACTTGGGAATGTTGCGAAGTGCCGGAATCATTATGTAGGGATGTGAATCCTATTGGTCTTATTGGTCAAGCTGAATACAAATTTTAACAATATTTTTTGCCCGTTTCTTTGCCGTATTCTTTTTGCCTGTTAAAGATAGAACTCACACGAAATATATTAGTTTCTTGTCATTAATAAAGAACGTCTGGGTAAGTTTTATGGAATTTGTTCATGAAATTTGATTAAAGTGCTTGTTTTGGGGTGCGTGTGGAAAGATTCAGGATGATATTTCCTCGCTATCGCAGCAATAAGTAGATGTGCCAACGATTAGTAAGCAAGATGCTGGTCTGTAAGAGCGACTCAGGACAAGCTGCTTTTATACGCCTTTTCGAGGAGGCTCTGTGAAGTAGATCGATAAGCTGGTGCCCACAGCCACTTGTCATGCGAGTTCAATTATGCTCCGTCGCAAAAATTTGAAGGAGGTCTCCTTCACTGACGGCTGACCAATGTACGTGCAACCGATTCACTTCTCGTCCAACTTATCTCGAGACGACATGAGGAGGTTATTATAGACTAATTTTTTTTCTCGAAATGTAAGCAGATTTTTCCAGTTTTTTACATCGGAGGCCTTGCATTGAGGATTTTGTTCATTGCAAAGTTTCCTACGGTGAGGCTAATGATGGTCGATGATGGTTGTACCTATCGTCATAATTTTGATTTGCTTTACACATTTGTTCATGAATTGGAGAGTAAACGATAGATACAAATTTTTTTAGAAATAAATTGATTTCACTATGAGATATAGTTCCGTAAATGAATCTCCTCCGAGGTTAAATAATATTTATTTATCGTCTTGACGACCGAAATTTCTGATTTTTGATGATCTCTTTTATTCATACTTGTATCGTCACAAGTAAGAGGCTGTTAAGCTATACTTAAAGAACCCTGAAAAATATGCTCTTCATTCAGTGATACTACTCATAAAAATCAAATTCTCAAGCCAACTTAATTCTAAATAAAAAAAGACTGACAAAAGTCCCAACAATACTAGAAATTGAATATTTTACATCACATTTCGTCGTCAGCACTAGTGCATTAGTGAGTGAAAAACTCATTTATTCAAGTATTCCGACCAGCGTACGTCATAATTTCAAATGCAATTCAAACAATAATTTCATCTTGTTGCAAAGCTCAGGAGAAAAAATTCAATTTGTGTTTCACACTATTCATGTGAATGTACAACACAATAAATCTTCTTGCACACGTAATTTTTTATCATTAGAACTTGAAGACTTTCCGGGGAATTTCGAAGGTGTAAAAATTTAAGTAAAGGAACAATAGAGATGAGTTCAGTGCATTAATGACGTCACGACGCACCGAACGTGATCTCTAGTCCCGAGTATATTTACATATAATTGATGCAGGTTTGACTGAATTATATATAATTACACTTATATATAACTACTCCGCTAACATGAGGCTTTTGAGGCGGCTATGATAGCATGTGATGAGTTCGCTCTGTACTCGCAGCCTAGAGGTTTTGTTGACAGCTGTGCGATTTCATAGTGGAATACCATTTTTCGAAAAAAAATGCTGACTTAAAAATTTTATTTGATTAGAGTTAATGGGTGCAAAATATTTTTTAGAGGATAAATTAATCTTGATTTTAATTATCGATGTGGAGTTACAGTAGCGATGCGCATAGAGTCTAGACAATGAATCGTTTTTTGGGTTAGTTGTAACTTTTGATTCGAAATGGAAGGCTATCCAAGACATGCGGATTAAAGAATTACTATATTTTGTGATGTTTTACTTATACATAAAATCTACCACATCATATGTCGCATACACTCAAAAATCAAGGACATAATTTTTGTATCTCGATGCCTTTGCAATATAGTTCCAATTTTTCACAAATGATAAATATGTTTGTTGCCATTTTAATAAATGATGTTTGACGTTATTTTTAATATATACAAAGCTGTGACGATGTGATAGCAATGCTCGTTGGAAATTTAAATAAATATTCACTGTGAATTGTTGCTGAAACTTAATTTTCATGATCAAGATATTAGATATCGTCATAGTTCGTTCGCTCAATTAGTACAAACATTGAACATTAGTTTAAAGAATATTAGCTTTAGGAAATCTTCATACTCACAACGTCAATTTGTACGAATACCTTGAATCTTGTACGAATCTTTGCTTTATAGCCCTGGCATGACACGTCAAATAGGTATATTGATTCGTCGACTAACGGTGGGCTGTTCAGCAGAAGGCAAAATATATATCTACTATAATCTTGTTCGCGTGGGTAAATTCGTTGCAGACAGTCATGCCAAAACACATCGACTATCTGATAAATAGAACCGGCAGAGACATAATTCGGCTATGTGAATCAGCAACGTCCTTGGAAGTGTCCAAGCTTCTGGAGATAAGAGAAGCCACCGGTACTAAATCTGGGAATTATCATGCCTTTTTAAATGAAAGACGATATCCATTGGCATAACTCTGCAGAAAATAACTCATCTTTATTATGAAAAAGGATCGCGTCAAACCATTGATCGGTTATTATCTGGGAGAATGGTGTGTCGCTATTTAACTCTCGTAAAGTTTCCTAAATTTAGTCAGCACAAGATGAACGAATCACCTATATGAGCTTGAAATTATGCAGCATTTAAAACATTTTCTCTTGAAAACTTACGGTAATGTAGAAATTCCGGGGATAAGCGATATTAAATAGGAATTTAACGACTTTCTGTCGGATCAGGTATGGATGATGTGAACTCCAAATCAGAAAAAATTAAAGTTTAACAATTTCTAGAGAATATGAATACCACCTCACAACATGGCGTTAGGAACAAGGAATAAGTTACACTCAGATATTTGCCCTACATAGAAGAGACCTAACCTATGCTATCAGAACGCGAGTTCCTGATATACGATTGCCACGCATCCTTTCCGCACTTCAAGGGGTGAGGCAAAGGACATTGGCCTGGGACAGTTAGAAAAAAAGATAGGCCTGCACTCCATAGGTTGGACTCGAAGTCATCTGCCTCCTTCCCCGGTGTCATTGCAGCGCTATGCCGTTTTTTTCTATAGCCGTGATAATAACATCAATAACATTGACATGTAACCAATTACCCAGTGATAAAACGGCCAGGAACAGTGGGATCACGCTCTTTGAAGCCCACTGAATGCTTCAACACGCGGTCACCGTGGTCTTCGTGAGCAATTCACTACTTGATCAACTGGTTAGACTGCAAGGCTTCGGCATGAAACAACTCCCGAACCCTAAATTTAAAATTGATCTTACTACCAGCCACAAATAACCCAGTCCCATAACAGAACTCTATTTAATAAAGATCTTGAGAAAAATAAAGAAGACGGAAGAAATTTGGCCTCGAACACCAACGCAAGTTAGTGAATTCGAAGCCCCAGCTCGCCGAAAACCCGCTCACAATAGCAGATACTTCACGCAACATAGGAACCAACTTTTCTTGCATACAAGCAGCTAAGCTTACATGCTGCCACTTTAAAGCTGATGGTTTGGCTGTAAAAACTCCAATTATTTACTCTGAAGCATAAAATAAATATAGAGATGCTCTAATGATTTCATCTGAACTATTAAACACACGAAGATAATTTAAGAAATAATAAGTAGGACTCGAGCTCGAGAAAGTTATTGGACACCCACTCGTTCATTAGCCATGAGAGGATAAGATAATATCCGTTATTATAATATGTCCTTATGGTAATAATTTTGTAGAAGATGCACTTGATTTCAAGAATTTTTATTTTAAATTTTTATTATTTCAAATAAAAGTTTATAAATTCTAACGGAACGACAAATATAGTGTTGCATGTTTGAGTTAAATGGGACAAAGGAATTTAAGATGATTATAGACGTTCAATAGGAAATGGTGCCATAATATCTGCATTCTGTACAAAGAAAATGGCTGGAAATGCTAAAAAAATCAATTGAAGGTCAAGTCTAATGGATAGGTCTGTAAGGGCGAGAAATTTTCCAGTCAGCTCAATTAAGTAACTAAGAAAGATTTTTTTATATGCGAATTCATTTTGTTTCATTAAAATTTTTTGTTTACATTTTTCATTTAAATTCTTCATTTAAAATTCCTTTAAAAATTCATTTAAATTTGAAATTGGGGCTAATTTTTAACGTAGTTCTAAATTTTCAGTTCCCATATGAACGACCGATTACTGAAACTAGTTAAAAATAAATTTTGTTAAAAATTGGTTATTAACATGCAAAAATTTATAATGAAGACATTTTAATATTAACAAATCTATATCTAACCTATAGAAATTTTTGAATTAAAATAGTTATTTCTACAGCTTATGTTGTCTTTGGCAAGTAGCTGAGAAGTAATACACTTAATAAAACGAAACTGATAGCATCTTGCAGGGCTTGTGCTGCACACTCACTGAAATGTGTTGGTCTTGTCTAAATAGCGATACATTTTTTGCACTTGTTTGGGTTACCCTGACCCAGTTTGGGATGTATAGGTACAAGGCCCGCTCGCTCAGGTATTGTGGGTAAGATAATGGGCAACCACTTGGATGATATAACCCATGAAATTTTTTGAGTGGACGTGGTCACGACAGATGTGCGTGGTTTTGAGTTTGCCCCGTCATCCTGACGTTGCAATTATTAGTGGACATGACAGATACAATTTACTGTCTAGGGCTCAAGTGTGGGAGCGACAGCATCTTTAACATACAAAAAATGAATCGTAAAATTCTGTTACGTAATCTAACGAAATTATAAAGTGGTATAAAAATCCAACTTACAATGAGATGCAAAATTGCAGTAGTTGAATGAAGAGTCAAGGCGTTGACAAGCCACTATTAGCATTTTATACCATAAATATTTGAGCACCTTAAGTTATATATTATTAATGTATAACATGGCGTGCACAATCCTCTTAAATAAATGCATTACATGGTCAGATCATATTTAATGGTAAATAGAACGATGAATGACTTGGTATGTTTCGGTTTAGAGATTAGACAAAAGCCAGGAGAAGATAATATGTCAGGCAATATCGGAGCAAATTCATGGTCGTGCTGACGCAACCAATTAATTTAGTTACCGGTGCATTTGTATTGATCTAAGAATATGGTAGTAGAAAGTTGTATAAGTATAAGTAACCCGTTAATTAATTATTGACTAACATAATTATTATTAAGTAGTTGTAGCATTTTCTAACAAACTAATCACTAACTAATCTAAGTAGAAAAAAGTAATTAACAATTCATGCATGTTACATTAGTAAATGGTAGTGAACATGTAGCAAGAGAAATATGTTCTGAAAGT